GGATTTTGTCCCACTCCTCTTTGCAGATCTTCTCCAAGTCATTAAGGTTTCGAGGCTGTCGTTTGGCAACTCGAACCTTCAGCCCCCTCCACAAATTTTATATGGGATTAAGGTCTGGAGACTGGCTAGGCCACTCCTTGACCTTAATGTGCTTCTTCTTGAGCCACTCCTTTGTTGCCTTGTCATGCTGGAATACCCAGCCACGACCCATTTTCAATGCCCTGGCTGAGGGAAGGAAGTTCTCACCCAAGAATTGACGGTACATGGCCCCGTCCATCGTCCCTTTGATGCGGTGAAGTTGTCCTGTCCCTTAGCAGAAAAAGCACCCCCAAAGCATAATGTTTCCACCTCCATGTTTGACGATGGGGATGGTTCATCTTCTTTGGTTCTTTCGGTAAAGTCACGTAGAATGATAATAAAATAATAAATTGATAAAATAAAATAACACAATAATATTCTCACGACGTTTCGGCCACAACACAAGCGGCCTTCATCAGGTGAAGGGGGCGAGACTGTCACTCCAGCGCTGTCCTACCAGACAGTCTCGCCCCCTTCACCTGATGAAGGCCGCTTGTGTTGTGGCCGAAACGTCGTGAGAATATTATTGTGTTATTTTATTTTATCAATTTATTATTTTATTATCATTCTACGTGACTTTACCGAAAGAACCAAAGAAGATGAATCATTGCAGTCACGAAAGCTTTAAATCGAGATGGGGATGGCGTTCTTTGGGTCATAGGCAGCATTGCTCCTCCAAACACGGCGAGTTGAGTTGATGCCAAAGAGCTCAATTTTGGTCTCATCTGACCACAACATTTTCACCAAGTTGCCCTCTGAATCATTCAGATGTTCATTGGCAAACTTCAGACGGGCATGTATATGTGCTTTCTTGAGCAGGGGGCCCTTGCGAGCGCTGCAAGATTTCAGTCCTACACGGCGTAGTGTGTTAGCAATTGATTTCTTGGTAACTATGGTCCCAGCTGCCTTGAGATCATTGACATGATCCTCCCGTGTAGTTCTGGGCTGATTCCTCACCGTTCTCATGATCATTGCATGGAGCTCCAGGCCGAGGGAGATTGACAGTTCTTTTGTGTTTTTTTTCCATTTGCGAATAATCGCACCAACTGTTGTCACCTTCTCACCAAGCTGCTTGGCAATGGTCTTGAAGCCCTTTCCAGCCTTGTGTAGGTCTACAATCTTGTCCCTGACATCCTTGGAGAGCTCTTTGGTCTTGGCCATGGTGGAGAGTTTGGAATCTGATTAATTGATTGCTTCTGTGGACAGGTGTCTTTTATACAGGTAACACGCTGAGATTAGGAGCACTCCCTTTAAGAGTGTGCTCCTAATCTCAGCTCGTTGCCTGTATAAAAGACATCTGGGAGCCAGAAATCTTTCTGATTGAGGGGGGTCAAATACTTATTTCCCTCATTAAAATGCAAATCAATTTATAACATTTTTGACACGCGTTTTTTCCGGATTTTGTTGTTGTTATTCTGTCTCTCACTGTTCAAATAAACCTACCATTAAAATTATAGACTAATCATTTCTTTGTCAGTGGGCAAACGTACAAAACCAGCAGGGGATCAAATACTTTTTTCCCTCACTGTATAAGAGCCACTAGTTTATATATGAACCACTAGTTTATATAAGAGCCACTGGTTTATATAAGAACCACTGGTTTATATAAGAGCCACTGCTCTAGACTGGTCCAGACGCACGTTGGAGGGAAAAACTGGAGGGACCCTAGAACAGAAATCCACCAGACCACGGGGGAGGAGAGGGGAGAAGAGAGAGAGAGAAAAACTCCAAATATACAGCTGGCGTCAGTCAGAGTCGGGACAAAACCCACGACCTCCTGCATACCAGGCGAGGTAGTTAACATCTCCTAGCCACCGTGATGATGATGATGATGAGAGACACAAACTCCAAATATACAGCTGGCGTCAGTCAGAGCCGGGACAAAACCCACGACCTCCTGCATACCAGGCGAGGTAGTTAACATCGCCTAGCCACCGTGATGATGATGAGAGAGAGAGAGACGCACACTCCAAATATACAACGGGCGTCTTCAGGGTCGGGACCGAACCCACGACCTCCTGCATACCAGGCGAGGTAGTTAACATCTCATAGCCACCGCGACAGCTATGTTGGTTACTTGTGAAGAAAGAACTTGGGGGGGTTGGAGGGTTGGAGGGTGGGGGAGGTGGTGGGTTACCAGGTGGGAGTAATGTCGGGGAGCCGGGGGAGGGGGGGGGGTGTGCCAAGTGTGGGAGTTGGTGGACGGGAGATTATGATGGGAGGCCTTGGGGCTGAACAAACCACGTGGGGTGTGGAGCGAGCCGTCTTATGACCGAGCAGAGACGCGCGCCGGCGTTTTTGCCCGCGGCGCTGCTGTCGATCGCAGTGGAATGCGCGTCCGTAATTTTCGAGACCGCCACCGCCACCCAGCCCACCTCGTCCACCCACCCCGCCTCGTCCACCCCACTCCACCTCGTCCTCCTCCTTGCGGGAAAAGGTCGTTGCGATTTTCTGCGCAATCAGAACTCCGGCAGATGTAGCCGCGGTAAGCGGAGCTTGGGTTCGCGGTGGCGGCAGCAGCAGCAGCTGCGTCGAAACAGTCACCGATCGGCACGTTTTCGTTTGCGTGGCAATCAGCCGGGTGGTGGCGGGTCCAACGACACATCCGTCATTACGCTTTATTACGGATGGAATCGCTCGCGAAAAGCCTCATCCTCCCCCACTACTGCTGCTGCTGCGACAAACGGCGACGCGCGGACAGCGTTTCTTTAAACAAGATCGCCTTTTGGCGTCCTCTGGTCTCTAAACACCGTTTTGAGACGAGGCTCAAAAGAAAGCTGTCTCTGGTGTGGACCAATCAGTTTCAAAGACAATGCCACATATATTACCAGAGTATGTTTTTTTTGCATTTTGACCGCAAGTATTGTGGTTAATGTAGACGTGATTCCTTGCAAAAGGTTTCAGTTTGGTGTTTTAACAACTGAACACAGCTGTTTTGGTGCCAGATAAGAGGAAAAAAAAACTATTATCAAGATCAACGGGCTCACAAAATGTGCGTTGATTTATTAACCCTCCACCCACTTCGCACAAGAAGGGCACACAGATGTTGTCATCACATCTACGACGTCTCTATTTAAACGAACGCAACAGGTGGACTTCTACAACAAATCTGGCTGCCGCCTGATGAAGCTGGTTGTAATTACTGGCAAAAACGCGGCCTCCCGGTGTTAACCGGGGCGGCCCCTCGGTATTAACCGGGGCGGCCCCTCGGAATGAACCGGGGCGGCCCCTCGGTATGAACCGGGGCGGCCCCTCGGAATGAACCGGGGCGGCCCTGCCCCCCACGGTGCATGCGAACCGCGACCCTCACCAAAGTGGTGGCGAACGGCCCCTGTGTCTGGGCGTCCACGTGCTCGGCCAGTTAGGTCTCGGGCTGGGCCCCCCCCCTCGCCCCCACCGCCCCCCCCCCCTCTGTGTCCAGGCGGGCTCAGGCTTGCCCAGTCCCCCCCCCCCCCTCCGTTGTGTAATGGGGGGGGGGGTCTCATACCGGGTTTATTGGGGGGCGACGCCTGGTGGCCGCCCACCCCCTGCAGTCACACGGATTTAATGAGCTCGCATTAATTGCAGTGACGTGGTGGTGGTGTGTTGAGTGTGTGTGTTGTGTGTGTGTGTGGTGTTTTATGGTGTGTGTGTGTGTGGTATTTTATGGTGTGTGTTGTGTGTGTGCTGTTTTATGGTGTGTGTGTGTGTTGAGTGTGTGTGTGGTGTTTTATGGTGTGTGTGTTGTTTTATGGTGTGTGTTGTGTGTGTGTGGTGTTTTATGGTGTGTGTGTGTTGGGTGTGTATGTGTTTTTTATGGTGTGTGTGTTGGGTGTGTGTGTGTGGTGTTTTATGGTGTGTGTGTTGGGTGTGTGTGGTGTTTTATGGTGTGTGTGTGTTGGGTGTGTGTGGTGTTTTATGGTGTGTGTGTTGTTTTATGGTGAGTGTTGTGTGTGTGTGGTGTTTTATGGTGTGTGTGTGTTGGGTGTGGTGTTTTATGGTGTGTGTGTTGTTTTATGGTGTGTGTTGTGTGTGTGTGGTGTTTTATGGTGTGTGTGTGTTGGGTGTGTGTGTGTTTTTTTATGGTGTGTGTGTTGGGTGTGTGTGGTGTTTTATGGTGTGTGTGTGTGTTGGGTGTGTGTGGTGTTTTATGGTGTGTGTGTTGGGTGTGTGTGTGGTGTTTTATGGTGTGTGTATGTTGGGTATGTGTGTGGTGTTTTATGGTGTGTGTTGTGTGTGGTGTTTTATGGTGTGTTGAGTGTGTTGTGTGTGTGTGGTGTTTTATGGTGTGTTGGGTGTGTTGTGTGTGGTGTTTTATGGTGTGTGTGTGGTGTGTGAGTGTGTGTGTTGGGTGTGTGTGGTGTTTTATGGTGTGTGTGTTGTGTGTGTGTGGTGTTTTATGGTGTGTGTGTGTGTGTTGGGTGTGTGTGTGGTGTTTTATGGTGTGTGTGTTGGGTGTGTGGTGTTTTATGGTGTGTGTTGGGTGTGTGTGGTGTTTTATGGTGTGTGTGTGTGTTGGGTGTGTGTGTGGTGTTTTATGGTGTGTGTGTGTTAGGTGTGTGTGTGGTGTTTTATGGTGTGTGTTGTGTGTGTGTGGTGTTTTATGGTGTGTGTGTTAGGTGTGTGTGGTGTTTTATGGTGTGTGTGTGTTGGGTGTGTGTGTGGTGTTTTATGGTGTGTGTGTGTTGTGTGTGTGGTGTTTTATGGTGTGTGTGTTGGGTGTGTGTGGTGTTTTATGGTGTGTGGGTGTGTTGTGTGTGTGTGTGGTGTTTTATGGTGTGTGTGTTGTGTGTGTGTGTTGGGTGTGTGTGTGGTGTTTTATGGTCCTACTCGCCAACAGCACTTGCCCCAACAACCCATTTTGGAGCGGTGGCGCGGCGGGATCTTTAGAGGCTACTCCGTGCGGGGGGTTTTGGGGGGGACCTCTGTCTGTGTGAGTGCAGCTGGTGGCGTCAGGTGAGAGGCATCGCAGAGGCTGGAAAGCGCCGTCCGTGTTCGTTGTTGAAAATGAACCTGGTCCCTTCCCCGCGTACGTCACAACGGTAGGTGTCGTTGTGTGCGTGTGTGTGTGGGTGGCGGTGATGTGCCACCCCCTCCCCCCCCGTAATGGAACGTCTACGCCGGTTAGAAACATTGAGGCTGGCCTGCCTGCGATCCATCCTGGGTTTAACCAGGCTGGATTGTGTCAGGAGCTCACAAATCCTTGAAGGTTCTGGACAAAGTCCCATCGGTGAGCTCCTCCGGCAGGCAAGGCTGCGATGGCTGGGTCATGTAGCCCGCATGCCCAGCCACCGCATGCCTAAATAGCTTTTGTTTGGCCGGATCGAGGGGGCTAAATGGGCACGGCACGGGCTAGAGAAGAGATGGAGTGATGTGATACAGGAGGATGTGGAGCTGAGTGGACTTGCTGATGACTGGTACCAGCGGTGTCAAGATCGGCCTCTGTGGAAGAGGATCGTGAAGGACGCTACTGGGCAGTTGGAGGCAGTCGCCCTCCAACAATAACGGAGGGCGGAGGAGCGACGCTCACAACAACGAGCGGAGCACGGGTCGGTTAAATCACAGCAAGTTGGCACACAAGGAGGCACAGCTTTTTCATCTGCCAGTCATCTCAGTCAGTCAACCCATGGCACCTGCTGGGTCTGTCCCGTGACCTCCTGGTAGCGGGCGTTCGACACTTCACGTGGCCTTAAAGTGCACCTAGCCTGGCACAGTCGCCGTGGTGACGTCGCCGCTAATAGCGGTTGTGGTTGTTGGTGGTGGTGTTGTGGGGAGCGGTGGTGTAGCGGTTAGCGCTACGAACCTGGCGACCCGGGTTCCATTCCCGCTCACGGGCAACGCCAGTGACGATTATCTGAACCGGTCCTGGGCCTCCCCTAGGCCGACTCAGCCTCAAATGAGTACCTGGTGCGATGTGTAGTAAACACACCCTCGTGTGCCGTGCCGGCCTTCGTAGGTGGTGTCACTCCCGAACAGCACTTGCCCCAAAAGTCTGTCGAAGCTAAACGGGGGATCTTTGTCTGCTTGTTATGCGTGCGTTTACCTGTGTGCATGCACATTCCATTGTGTATGTGTTGACCTGTGTACGTGTGTGTGTGCGTGTCTGTACGTGCCGAACCCAACCGATCAAGTTTGAGTCAGACCAGGTTAAAGGTCGGACGGTGAACTACAAGCTCTCAGGCCCAGGGGCAGATCAGCCGCCCGTGGGACGCTTCTCCATCAATGACAAGGGCGTAATTCAAGTGTCTCAGGCTCTGGACAGAGAGGAGATCGCCATATACAAGGTGTGAGTGTGTGTGTGTGTCAACTACCTCGCCTGGTACACAGGAGGTCGTGTGTACAATCCTGACCCTGACGCCTGCTGCTGTATATTTGGAGTTTGCGTGTCTCCCTCCCCCGTGGTCGCGTGGATTTTTCTCCGGGTCTTCCGGTTTTCCGCTCCGCATTTAAAAATCAACATTCGGCTGCTTTGAATGTCCACGTGATAAGCCACTTTCGTCGAGATATCACTTGTGATGTTTAGGTCGCTTCGGGAAAAAATAGCTTTGCAGCTCAGTGGGGCCTTGCCTGGTAAAATAAAAAGTTTAGTTTAGTTCGTATATCCACGTGTGTGTCAATGTGTGGGGAGCGGTAGCGCAGTGGTTAGCAGCGTTACGCTACGAATCCGACGACCCGAGTTCGATTTCCGCTCATGGCCAAGACGAGTGACGATTATCTGAATCGGTCCTGGGCGTCTCCTACCTGATGCGGTGTGTAAACATCGTCACTAGGGAGACAAAGGCGGCCGGGCGTGGTGCTGGCCACCCACCTCTCTTGTGCCGTTCCGGCCGTCATCGGTGCTCGCTAACAGCACTTGACCCAACAGTCTGTTACAGTCTGTTACAGGCTGTTACAGTCTGTTACAGGCTGTTACAGTCTGTTACAGGCTGTTACAGGCTGTTACAGTCTGTTACAGGCTGTTACAGTCTGTTACAGGCTGTTACAGGCTGTTACAGTCTGTTACAGTCTGTTACAGGCAATACGGGGGATCTTTGTCTTTGTGTGTCAATGTTGGGGTGGAGTGGTAGCGTAGTGGTTAGCGCGCTGCACTACGAACCCGACCACCCGAGTTCGATTCCCGCTCACGGTCAACATTATCTGAACCATTCCTGGGCATCCCCTAGGTTGACTAAGCCTCAATTTAGTACACTCTCTAGTGCGGCGTGTAAACATTAGCACTGGAGAGACAAAGGCGGCCGGGCGTTGGCTTTCAACAACACCTGCCCCAAACGTCTGTTAAGGCTATACGGGGCGTCTCTGTGTATCTGCGAGAGATGGGGAGCGGTGGTCGCAGTCGTCAGTACACCGTGCTACGAACCCCATAGCTGTAAACCCCTCTATCAGTGCCCTACCTTATGAGACCAATTCAGATCTTATTGGTCACCCCGTGCCCCCTTATAAATCTCAACGTTCATCCTACAAAGTCCCATCACAAGGGAAAAACAAATAGACACATTTATTTTTGCTCTGAAAACTCAATTTCCCTGTACAAGAAATTTACGGGGTAAACCGTATGGGTTCACAGGTGTGGAACCCGGTGACCCGAGGTCGATTCCCACTCGCAGCCAATATCGGTGATGAATATTCGAACCGGCCCTGGGCCTCCCCTGAGCCAAATCGGCCTTCAAATGAGTACCTGGTGCGGTGTGTAAAATAAATAATCAGTGGGGAGGCAAAGGTGGCCGGGCGTGGTGGTAATGGCCGCAAATGGGACGTCATGCATGGCCTTGATGGAAAGTGCTCGCTGACAGCACTTGCTGATCCCAACGACCTGTTCGAGCAGTCCCATAATGCAGGTCGCGCAAAGCCAACGTGTTACATTGTTAGAGCGGTGTTCTGCAGGCCCGCGACAACCACACGAAGGGTGAATAAGTCATATATATAAAAAAAAGTTTTTTTTAAAACACGCTTTAATGAAATGTACCGTACTCGTAATGGAAAAAAACTCCACGACTCCAGGAAGTGGCCCCGAAGCTTGCCACGACGTAAGGGGACCGTGGGCAATTACAGCCAACGTGAGTTTACCCTGGAAAATTAGACCCAAGCCGAAATATAACAAGTAAAAAAATAATGTAAAAAAATATTTATCTTACATTTTTTACGATAGAATATAGTACTGTCATCAGTATTACATACGTATACCAAGTTTGCAGTCGATACCACATTGGGAAGTGGGTTAACATTGAGTTACAAGATTTGAGGATACATCAACGGCAACAGCAGACGGTGAGTTAAATAAAAGCGTGTAAATAAAAACACGACTCATAATCGTCGTGGAGCTGCTGTCAAAACCCCAGTGGTTTAAAATGAGTGAAGAACACGGTTGTTAAAGGCCATACGGGGGGGGGGGGGGGATGTGTCTTTATGGCTTATAATATGAACACGAGCCATTTGCCCGTCCAAGGACGGGTGTATTGCAATAAATGTGAAACTTGCAAGCGAAACGACAGACCGCGAAGTGATATATTCATTGCATTCGTTCGTGTGCAATTTGTAAGGCCGCGGTGACACAGACCTATTTCATTTGAAGGTTATAATCCCTTGTTCATCATGACGTCCTTTTTACTTTGATGTCTCAGCAGCGTTACGGAGATCGCCTCTTCCCCCGAGGAGGGGGGAGGAGGCGCCTCGCCCCCCCCCCCCCCATGTGACGTGACGTCACCTGCTAATTAATATTATTGTGGTAGGGGGGTGTCCATTTGGAGGACGTCACCTGTTAATGATTATTAATGAGGGGGGCTGGTAGACGTGGAGTGACGTCACGCGCGGGACACACTGACATTCTTGGCTCATTATAGTAGTAAATTAGTCTGGCGTCCACGCCTTCAGCCACCCACCCCATCTACCCCCACCCTCACCAACCCCCTTCTACCCCCACCCCCACCCACCCCCTTCTATCCACCCCCACCCACCCCCTTCTATCCACCCCCACCCACCCCCTTCTACCCCCACCCTCACCAACCCCCTTCTACCCACACCCCACCCACCCCCTTCTATCCACCCCCACCCACCCCCTTCTACCCCCACCCTCACCCACCCCTTCTACCCCACCCTCACCAACCCCCTTCTATCCACCCCCACCCACCCCATTCTATCCACCCCCACCCACCCCCTTCTACCCCCACCCTCACCCACCCTCTTCTATCCACCCCCACCCACCCCCTGCTACCCCCACCCCACCCACCCCCTTCTATCCACCCCCACTCACCCCCTTCTACCCCCACCCTCACCCACCCCCTTCTATCCACCCCCACCCACCCCCTTCTACCCCCACCCTCACCAACCCCCCTTCTACCCACACCCCACCCACCCCCTTCTATCCACCCCCACCCACCCCCTTCTACCCCCACCCTCACCCACCCCTTCTACCCCACCCTCACCAACCCCCTTCTACCCCCACCCCCACCCACCCCATTCTATCCACCCCCACCCACCCCCTTCTACCCCCATCCTCACCCACCCTCTTCTATCCACCCCCCACCCACCCCCTGCTACCCCCACCCCATCCACCCCCTTCTATCCACCCCCACCCACCCCCTTCTACCCCCACCCTCACCCACCCCCTTCTATCCACCCCCACCCACCCCCTTCTACCCCGACCCCCACCCACCTTCAGCTACAGCGTCTCTGTGCTTGGTGTGAAATTGACACTGCCCCCCGCCCCCGCTTCCTCCTCACCCCCCCGCCCCTTCCCCCCCCCGCCCCTTCCCCCCACCCCCCTCCCACGGGTCAGATCTTCGTGCACGCGCTCATCAACGGGGTCGAGGTGGAGAGCGCGGCAGAGATGGCCGTGAGGGTTCACGACGACAACGACAACGCCCCCGACTTCGGCCCCGGGACCATTCGAGGATCGGTCACGGAGGGCAGTGCCCCTGGTCAGTGCGGTTAATAATAGGTGCTCCCTAAACCGGTTAATAGGTGCTCCCTAAACCGGTTAATAGGTGCTCCCTAAACCGGTTAATAGGTGCTCCTTAAACCGGTTAATAGGTGCTCCCTAACCACCGCTGCCGTCATCGTCGTCGCACCTCCGATGAGCGTGGACGGCGACGTACCGACGTTGAAAGAAGTTCAACGTCGGTACAAATCTAAGTTGGAAGCTCATTTCTTCAGGACTGCTTCTTGTTGGCGTGTTTGGTAGTTTGTTGTCCTTCCCACGCGCCTCCGGTTAGCGCGGTTGGCTACGTAACCGGTGCCGAAGAAGCTCAACGTGCGGACGTGACATCGGGGATCCGCGGATGAAACGCGCCACTTTTTTTTTCCACAAAATGTCAATAGGGGGCCGTCCATAAATGACGTCACGCATCTGGGGGTGGGGGGGGGGGTCAGACATTTGTGACGATGTGTGACGAGGGGGGGGGGTGGTTTGAGAAATGTGACGTCACATCAAAATGCGCAACTTTAAATAAATATAGACAACACGTTCTACTTGATTAAATAGACGTTTTAATAAATGTTTTCTCCCACAACATCAGAGTGCAGCGCCACATTAAATACGCACCACAATGACAATAGTTTAAAGCGATTTGAAGCATGTTTTATTTTCAAAATGGAAATATGGTTTTGGAGGGGGGCGCGCATAGCTTTGTGACGTCATATTTGAGGGGGGGTCTGACTTTTTGTGACGCCGTGTGACGAGGAGGGGGGGAGGGGTCAAAAATCTGCCAAAATCCCTTGACGTCATTTATGGAGGCCCCCATAGCAATAGCAAAATATGCCCATTTTTATCATTAGACCTCCTTTGCCAGTACCAAATGTAATAATAGGGTTTTTCCCATTTTTTTAGCAACAAAACTGAAACCTTTTTTACAAGGATTCATGTCTTGGTGTGGACCAATCAGTTTCAAGGACAATGCATATTTTACATTATGAGACCTCCTTTGCCAGAAACAAGATATAGGAATAGGTTTTACCCTTTTAACTGGCACAAAAACTGACACCTTTATTCAAGGCATCATGTTTGCAAAAAAACACAACACAAGCAGTCAGAATGCAAACAAAAAAGACAACTCTGATAATATGCAATATCAGACAGCTTTTCTTAGAGCCTAGTAGCTTTTCTTAGAGCCTAGTCTCTAAGAAAAGCTGTCTCGGGTGTGGACCAATCAAATTCAAGGACAGTGCATATTATCAGAGTTGTCTTTTTTGTTTGCATTCTGACTGCTTGTGTTGTGGTTATTGCAAACATGATGCCTTGAATAAAGGTGTCAGTTTTTGTGCCAGTTAAAAGGGTAAAACCTATTCCTAATGCATATTTTATCATAGTATGTTTTTTTGCATTTTGACTGCAGGTATTGTGGCTAATGCAGACACGAATCCTCGTAAAAAAAAAGGTTTCAGTTTTGTTGCCAGAAAAAAAGGGGGGAACCCCTATTATTATTATTATGCCCATTTTTGTTTGGCTCGTGTGGCCGCGTTGGCCCCCGTTGGCCCGCGTAGGCTCCCTGGTGGCGAGGCTCTCGGCCTCGGACCGGGACGACCCCGGCACGGAGCACACGGCCGTCGTCTACCGCCTCGAGGCCCAGGAACCACCCCAGCCACCCGACGCCTTCTCCCTGGACCGGCTCACCGGGGAGGTCACAGCCAACGTGCGGCTCGACCGAGAGGTGCCGGCACCCACCACCACCACCACCACCCACCCCCGAACCCCCCCCCCCCACCCCGGCCCCGCCCACCATCGCAGACACCAACGGCGATTTCCGATTAGTTCCCAGCCTCTAGTAGAGGCTCCGGCTCCAGTGAGCCGGATCGGAGCTTTACTTGCGCTGGGCCCCGAGTCGCTTGCAGAACGTGGGGGTAGAAGGGGTGGGTGGGGGTCGGGGTAGAAGGGGGTGGGTGGGGGTCGGGGTAGAAGGGGGTGGGTGGGGGTCGGGGTAGAAGGGGGGGTGGGGGTCGGGGTAGAAGGGGGTGGGGGTCGGGGTAGAAGGGGGTGGGTGGGGGTCGGGGTAGAAGGGGGGGTGGGGGTCGGGGTAGAAGGGGGTGGGGGTCGGGGTAGAAGGGGCTGGGTGGGTGGGGGTCGGGGTAGAAGGGGGTGGGTGGGGGTCGGGGTAGAAGGGGGGGTGGGGGTCGGGGTAGAAGGGGGTGGGGGTCGGGGTAGAAGGGGGTGGGTGGGGGTCGGGGTAGAAGGGGGTGGGTGGGGGTCGGGGTAGAAGGGGGGGGGGGGTCGGGGTAGAAGGGGGTGGGTGGGGGTCGGGGTAGAAGGGGGGGGTGGGGGTCGGGGTAGAAGGGGGTGGGGGTCGGGGTAGAAGGGGGTGGGTGGGGGGTCGGGGTAGAAGGGGGTGGGTGGGGGTCGGGGTAGAAGGGGGTGGGTGGGGGTCGGGGAAGAAGGGGGCGGGGACAACAACAACAACAACAACCACAACCCCTAGAACCACAGCAGCAACAACAACCCTGGCATCCAACAACAACCACAACTTCCCATCACCAATGTCATCATCATCATCATCGCCATGCCATAGCGTCCCCCCTACCCCCGCACCCCCACCCTTAAAGCGGTTTTGGGGGGACCGACCCCATGGGTTGAGAATCGCCGCATCACCACTGGGGAGACAAAGGCGGCCGAGAGCGTGGCGCTGGCCACCCAAGCCCTCTGCCGTGCAGCCGTGCCGGCTTTCACCACACAATTCGCTGACAGCGCTCGCCCCAACATCCCATCGAGGCTGTACGGGGACGGCGGTGGTGGCGGCGGTGGTGGTGGGGGCTGGCCACCTACGTGCTTGAGCGCGCGTGGTTCCGTGCAGGCCGTGAGCGAGTTCCGGCTGACGGTGGTGGCCACGGACTGCAACGGGGCCCCCAGCGGACTGAGTGGCACGGGGACCCTGGCGGTGCGCGTCGTGGACGTGAACGACAACGCGCCGACGTTCGTCACCACCACGGTGAGGACCGGCAAACCCGGCGCGCCCGCCCGCCCGCCCGCCCCTTGGGTCCGGGTTGGGCTCTGGCTCAAGGCGACTCGCATAGGGCGAGCCGGCTCCGAGCGCGGCGTTCCCCGGCCGCGCTCGGGATGTCCGCGAGGCCCCAAACCTGAGCCGAGCCACGGCCGAGGCGCTCGCTCACTCGTGCGTTTTTTTGTTGTTGTTTTAATCTGGTGAGCGGCTCAAGCCTGAGCCGGGCCTGAAGCTTAGAGGCACACAGGCCTGAGCCGAGCCTCTGCTGAGCCGCCCGCTCATTCGCTCGCCCGAGCGTCTTTGGAAGCTGAGCCGAGACTGCACGTTCGAGGCTGAGCCAGAGACAGAACCCAGCCGTTGGCGCAATGGCAGAGGGCAGTCAAGTTGGTTTTGTTTAACCAGGTGGGCAACTCAACAGCCCAGGCACATAAAGCCTCGTGGTGGCGCGCGGAGCCGAGGTCGCTTGAAGGGCTTCTCAGGGGTCGCTTGAAGGGCTTCTCAGAGGTCACTCGAAGGGCTTCTCGAAGGTCGCTTGAAGGGCTTCCCAGAGGTCACTCGAAGGTCTTCTCGAAGGTCACTCGAAGGGCTTCTCAGAGGTCACTCGAAGGGCTTCTCAGAGGTCGCTCGAAGGGCTTCTCAGAGATCACTCGAATGGCTTCTCAGAGGTCGCTTGAAGGGCTTCTCAGAGGTCACTCGAAGGACTTCTCAGAGGTCACTCGAAGGGCTTCTCAGAGGTCACTCGAAGGGCTTCTCGAAGGTCTCTTGAAGGGCTTCTCAGAGGTCACTCGAAGGACTTCTCAGAGGTCACTTGAAGGGCTTCTCGGAGGTCGCTTGAAGGGCTTCTCGGAGGTCACTCGAAGGGCTTCTCAGAGGTCACTCGAAGGGCTTCTCGGAGGTCGCTTGAAGGGCTTCTCAGAGGTCACTAGAAGGGCTTCTCAGAGGTCACTCGAAGGGCTTCTCAGAGGTCACTTGAAGGGCTTCTCAGAGGTCACTTGAAGGGCTTCTCAGAGGTCACTCAAAGGGCTTCTCAGAGGTCACTCGAAGGGCTTCTCAGAGGTCACTCGAAGGGCTTCTCGGAGGTCGCTTGAAGGGCTTCTCAGAGGTCACTCGAAGGGCTTCTCAGAGGTCACTCGAAGGGCTTCTCAGAGGTCGCTTGAAGGGCTTCTCAGATGTCACTTGAAGAGCTTCTCAGAGGTCACTTGAAGGGCTTCTCAGAGGTCACTTGAAGGGCTTCTCAGAGGTCACTTGAAGGGCTTCTCAGAGGTCACTCGAAGGGCTTCTCGAAGGTCACTCGAAGGGCTTCTCAGAGGTCACTCGAAGGGCTTCTCGGAGGTAGCTCCGTGGCGTCCGCTTCCACGTGCCGCCGTCGCCGCCGTCTCTCTCATGCGCGCGACCATCGCGCAGGTGTTGGCGAGCGTCGCCGAGAACGAGCTGGCGGACCCGCTCGTCTTCCTCTTCGTCTGGGACCGTGACGAGGTGGGCACCGACGGCTGGCGTGCCGTCTACTCCATCGTGGGGGGAGACGATGGGGCGAGCTTCGGCGTCCGCACGGACCACAACAGCAACGCCGCCGTGGTCTCCGTAGTCAAGGTCGAGTGATCATCGCACGCGGTCGCTGGGTCATCGAGAAGGCCGGAGCGATGGCTCCGCGCTCTGATTGGTTAAAGGGCCGTCCATAAATGACGTCAGGCACCTGGGGGGGGGGGGTTGAGCAATGTTTTATCCTACAACATCAGAGCGCAGCGCCACATTAAATACGCACTACAATGACAATAGTTTAAAGCGATTTGAAGCATTTATTTTGGGGGGGGGGGGGGGCAGAGCTTTGTACGTCATATTTGACGGGGGGTCTGACTATTTGTGACGTCGTGTGACGAACGGGGGGGGGGGAGGGTCAGACATCGTCCAAAATCGCGTGACGTCATTTATGGACGGCCCCTAAGGAGGGGGCGGGGTGGGGGGGGGGGCGCACGGGGAGCCATCTCACTCACGCATTCACTATCCCACCCACTCTTTCACCATCTTACTCATTCACCATCTTACTCACTCATTCACTCAACCCACCCACTCATTCACCACCTCACTCATTTACCATCTCACTCACTCATTCACCATCCTACCCACTCATTCACCATCTCACTCATTCGCCATCTCACTCACGCATTCACCATCCCCCCCACTCATTCACCACTTCACTAATTCACCATCCCACCCACTCATTCACCATCTCACTCATTCACCATCTCACTCACTCATTCACCATCTCACCCACTCATTCACCATCTCACTCATTCACCATCCCACCCACTCATTCACCATCTCACTCATTCACCATCTCACTCACTCATTCACCATCTCACCCACTCATTCACCATCTCACTCACTCATTCACCATCTCACTCACTCATTCACCATCTCACCCACTCATTCACCACTTCACTCATTTACCATCTCACTCACTCATTCACCATCGCACCCACTCATTCACCATCTCACTCATTCACTCAACCCACCCACTCATTCACGACTTCACTCATTCACCATCTCACTCACGCATTCACGATCTCACCCACTCATTCACCATCTCACTCATTCACCATCTCACTCATTCGCCATCGCACCCACGCACTCACCATCTCACTCACTCATTCACCATCCCACCCACCCACTCATTCACTCACCCGCTCGTTCGCCAGCTCACCCACTCACCCTCTTTGCAAAACGAGAGCCCCAATTCCCCCACGGCCCCTCGAGTCCTCGCCTGCCACCGTGACAACTCACCCGACCATCGCTTGCTGCCCTGGGGGCCGTCCATAAATGACGTCACGCACCTGGGGGGGGGGGGGCGGGGTCAGACATTTGTGACGATGTGTGACAATGGGGGGGGGGGAGGGGGTTTGAGAGATGTGACGTCAGATCAAAATGCGCAACTTTCAATAAATATAGGACAACACGTTCTACTTCATTAAATAGACTTTTTAATAAATGTTTTTTCCTACAGCGCCACATTAAATACGCACTACAATGACAATAGTTTAAAGCGATTTGAAGCATGTTTCATTTTTTCGGGGGGGGGAGGGGGGCAGAGCTTTGTGACGTCATATTTAAAGGGGGGGGGTCTGACTTTTTGTGACGCCGTATGACAAGGGGGGGGGGGGTGGTAAAAAATCATCCAAAATCGCGTGACGTCATTTATGGACGACCCCCTGGGCCCCCCCCCGCTACCCCCCCCCCCCACTCCCCGTTCCCCCGTCAGCCGCTGGACTACGAGCGACAGAGCTCGCTGGAGCTGCTCGTCGCCGTGGCTAACCGGGCCCCTCTGGCGACGGCGGCGGGGCAGCCCGCGGCCTCCACGGCCACGGTGCTGCTGGGCGTGCGGGACGCGCCCGAGGGGGCCGCGTTCGAGCCGCCGCTCTTGGTGCTGAGCGCGCGGGAGGAGGCGGCCCCTGGCAGCGCCCTGGGGGAGTTCCGAGCGCGGGACCCCGACTCGCAACATCATGGCGGAGAGATCCGGTGAGGAGGAGGATGGGGGGGAGGATGGGGGGAGGAGGAGAGGGGGGAGCAGGAGGAGCAGGAGGGGAAGGATGGTGGAGGAGGGGGAGGTGGAGGAGGGGGAGGATGAGGAGGTGGAGGGGGAGAGGAGGAGGAGAGGGAGGAGGTGGAGGAGGTGGAGGAGGTGAGGGAGAAGGGGGAGCAGGTGGAGGGGGAGCAGGAGAGGGAGGAGGAGGTGAGGGAGGAGGTGGAGGAGGTGAGGGAGGAGAGGGAGGAGGTGGAGGAGGGGGAGGATGAGGAAGGGGGAAGAGGAGGGGGGGAAGAGGTGGAGAGGAGGGGAGGGAGGTGGAGGTGAGGGAAAAAAGGGGGGAGGAGAGGGGGGAGCAGGAGGTGGAGGAGGGGGAGCAAGAGGAGGGGTGGGGGATGATGAGGGGGAGAGGAGGATGGGGAGGAGGAGGTGGGGGGGAGGAGGCGGTGGAGGTGGGAAGAGGAGGAGGTGGGAGGAGGGGAGGAGGTGGGGAGGGAGCAGCTCAGGGGAGGAGGAGGTGTTCCGTAACTTTCTGAACTGGACGTCTGTGAAAGAAGAAGAACTTCCGTGGCTCATGGGGCGTCTCCTCTGATCCAGTTGGGATGGCGTGTGGCCAAGTGCTTCTGTCGTTGTTGACGTTATAGCATTGTGGTTATAGGAGTTTTATTTGCGTGTGGGATTAAAATAATTACAGGGTGTTATAGGATTTTTCCAATGGGACGAAAAGCGTTATAATGTGTTATATGGTTTAATGGGATTAAAAGCGTTATAGGGTGTTATATGATTTTTATTGGATTAAAAGCGTTATAGGGTGCTATAGGATTTTTTACGGCGTTAAAGACGTGTAACGACTTGACACACTTCTCTTGGGATGGCTCTTTATTGAAGACGCGTTCGCTTGACACCAGGCGGAGACCCACACTGCAACAGCCCCAAGTCTACTGCGCATCTCCCCCTTATATACCGACACGAGGCCACGCCCCCCCCTTCCCGAACATTCTCGCTGACTCTGGAGACTCGCTCCACCGGCAGACTCCACCGTCATCTGACCACGCTCCCTTCTTGAACATTCCCGTAGCCACCAGTCCCTTTGCACTGCAGGCTGACTCCCCTGTCATTACCTCCCGTGGCCACTAGTCCCTTCGCACTCACAGCTGACTCCCCTGTCATTACTTCCCGTGGCCACTAGTGCATTCACACTGCAGGCTGACTCCCCTGTCATTACCTCCCGTGGCCACTAGTCCCTTCGCACTCACAGCTGACTCCCCTGTCATTACTTCCCGTGGCCACTAGTGCATTCGCACTGCAGGCTGACTCCCCTGTCATGACCTCGCGTGGCCAGTAATCCACTCACAGCTCATTTAGGCTCTACTGTCATTGCAAATGTAGAGGATATTTTTTATGGGATTAAAAGTGTTATAACGTGTTATAGGGTTTGTATGGGATTAAACACGTTATAGTGTGCTATATGATGTTTTTTTAATGGCATTCACAGCAAAAACCAGTGGCACCATACATTTTAAAAGCGCTTGCCGTCATATTCCAGTCGGAATGGCATGGGGCTTCCTGCTTTCGTTGGTTGGGAACGTCAAACGACTATCAAGCGTCTCCAACCAACTTTCATTTGCTAGACCGCCGTGGGATTATTTTTATCGGGCGCGCCCGGAAAGTAAGACCCATCCTGCTCACTGTGAGACTGCGTGGGTGCCTCTGAGACCTCCGTGTCTCTGTTTCTATGCACTTCCATCTCCCCTGTCTCTCCCCACCTCTGTCCCATCCCTCTCTCCGCGTCTACCGCCGTGGTGCAGCTACGTTCTGGGAGACGACCCCGCGGCCTGGATCCAGGTGGACCCCCGCACGGCCGTCATCTCCACGGTCGGCGCCATCGATCGTGAGTCGCCCCTCGTCCACAACGGCCTCTACACCTTCACCGTGCTCGCCCTGCAGGACGGTGGGTTCCACCCCGCGGACGCCGCGGTGGAGGTGGTGGTGGAAGTGGTGACGGTGGTGGCGGTGACGGTGGTGGCGGGGAGTGGAGGTGGTGGTGACGGTGGTGGTGGGAAATGGAGGTGGTGGTGGAGGTGGTAGAGGTGGTGGTGAGAGGGAGCGGTGGTGACGGTGGTGACGATGGTGGTGGTGGTGGTGGTGAGAGGGAGCGGTGGTGACGGTGCGGTGTGTAAACATCAGCATTGGGGAGACAAAGGCAGCCGGGCATTGTCCGACACATCCTGCACCCCCACTCCACCCCCCACCCCCACTCCACCACCGCCACTTGACCCCCACCCCCACTCCACCCCCCCCCCACCCCCCCCCCCCCCACCCCCACCAGGACCCCCTCCCCGCACGGCCACGGGCACCGTCGAGCTCCACATCCTGGACGTGAACGACCACGCCCCGGTGCTCACGGGGGCCCTGCGGCGTGCGGGGCCCTCCCTGCCACGCCTCTGCCTGGGCCGCCCCTCCGAGAGCCTCCCCCTCACGGCCTCCGATGCCGACTCGCCCGCCCACGGGCCCCCCTTCGCCTTCTCCCTGGTCGACGAGCCCCCCGGCACCGCCGCGCTCTGGGAGGTCGTGACCCTCAACGGTGAGTGGGGGGAAGTGGAGGGGGCGGCTGCCACTTCTACCCTCACGACCGCTGCCACCGCTGCTGCCCCCCAAATGACCAAACCCCCCCCCCCCCCACCTCTCAGAAACGAGCGCACGACTGCAGGCCCGCGTCAACGCCTACGGCGGCGGGGGCCCTCCGCTCGGGGTTCACCGCCTCTCCGTGATGCTCGCGGACCGGGGCGGCCACGGGGAGGCGAGGAGCGTGGCTGTGCGCGTGTGCCGCTGTTGGGCGGGGGCGCCCCCCGGATACCACGGCGAGGAGGAGGAGGAGACGTGCTTCCCCGATAACGTCCGGCGGCCGGGGCTGGGGGCCGGCGCCACCGCAGCCATCATCATCTCTCTGCTCGTCGTGGCACTCGTAGGTGCGGTCACGTCAGGGCGGCGGGGTCAGGGCGGCGGGGTCAAAGGGTGGTGGGGTCAGGGTGGTGGGGTCAGGGGGTGGTGGGGTCAGGGCGGCGGGGTCAGAGGGTGGTGGGGTCAGGGCGGCGGGGTCAGAGGGTGGCGGGGTCAGGGCGGCGGGGTCAGAGGGTGGTGGGGTCAGGGCAGTGGGGTCAGAGGGTGGCAGGGTCAGGACGGCGGGGTCAGAGGGTGGTGGGGTCAGAGGGTGGCGGGGTCAGGACGGCTGCGCCGGTGCAGCGGTTGACGATGGTCTTTTTGACCTTACAGCAGCAGGGTCCCTGGGTTCAATTCCCGACTCGGGCGCCTTGCTACGTGTGGCGTTTGTTGTGTATGTTGCGTAAGTATGTGGAACTTCTTTCGCACCGTACGTAGCCAATTGGAGGTGCGGAGGAAGGCCAACAAACTCAACACAAAAAGCAGTTCTTAAGCAATGCATTTTCAATCTAGATGCTGATTTAAAAGTGCATAGCTCCAGTGGCTTCCTAATATCGGAAGAGCGTTCCAGACGGCCGCAAGAAGTGCATCTGAAAGCGCCACGCGATGCGGTGACCGTCTTCGCTCGACGGTCAGCTAAACACCTCTGCTGCGAGGACGACCGGAGTTTGCGTGATGATGGTTCACGCTCCTCGACGAGATCAGCGAGGCATTGCGGGTCATTTGCGACGATTGCGACCTTACAATGCAGCCATCAGAAAGGCCCCGGTTTTAATCGCTGGCTAAAAACCCGGCTCGGAATCCCAGGATCTCGGGCAGCGCCGGCTCGGTGTCTCTGACCTCGAAGTCGCGGGATCCACCTCTGGCTTTGACTTGAACCTTCCTCTCCGCCCGCGGCGCTGACCCCCATCCACCCCCATCGCTCCCCTTCCCCCCAGGCCTCGTCGCCTTCCTGCTCCCTCGCCCCAAGAGGCGGCTGCTGGTTTTTCACGACGGTGTCCCGCGCGGATCTCTCGTCCGGTACAACGACGAGGGCGGCAGGGAGGAGGACAAGGTTCGTAGGCGACGCTGCCGGGGCACGCGGTGAATTGCCGCCGCCCGTCGCGGAGGCCCGTGGTGGCCCGTGGTACCGAATCCGGCAGGCCGCCCCTCCCCCACTGGTACCCCGGAGATCGAACTTAATTCGTTCCAGAAGGCCACTCGAACACCGATTTGCTCGAACACTTGAATTAATTTTCCCCATCAGAATGAATGTAAATGACGTTAATTGGTCGCATGCGCAATGAATCTCCCGTTATAGAGCATTTTCACACTAAGTTTGCAGTAATTACATGCATAAAATCACACAAAAAACACGATAAATGGAATAAATGCATGGAATAAATGAAATAAATGAACACTGAACTTCACTTTACCTGTAGTAAGGACAGTTGATGGCTTGAGTGGAAGGTGGTGGTGAGGAGGAGGAGGAGGTAAAACCTTTGTCTGGGCAAGCGTCGCGACGGCCCGTTCGACCTCCGAATTTCGTTCGCTTTCCGGGGGGGCAAAAAAAAAAAAAAACCGTTCGTAAAAATCGTTCGAACACCGATTTGTTCGGGGTATCTGGTGCGTTCGATCTCCGGGGGGGGTTCTACTGCAGTCAGTGTATACTCCTGCAATTTTAAAACAAAACCCAATGCGCCTCCCGCTTCACTCACCGGCGGGCAGTCGAAGCGGTCTCTGCGCGCCAGCGGTCGGTCTCGAGAGGTCCCACGTCCTGCCAAGTTTCACGGCGCAAATAATTCACTCGGGCCGGGACCCGTGCCGGCGGTCGTCGGCCGCCCCTTCCTCGGTGACCGCGCCCACCGAGCTGGGCGCAGGCGCCACGCCCGCGTCAGGGGCAGTCGTTGGCCAAGTGAGCCCGACGCGTCACACACTCGCGCGTTTCCCCCCCGGCTGTTCCGTTTGCGGAGCAGAGGACCGAGCGGGGGTCCGCCTTGGGGTGAAGCAGAGGAGGCTGCTAAAGTGACGTCCCGGCACGGCGAGGGCTTGTTGCGGCCCTATGCCCCCACAGGGAGCGCCGAGGAGTAAACGTTAAAAATAAATAAATAAATATCCACCACACCTTGGGTCTCGTGGGGTTGGGAACGCGGTTGAGAGCGGTCCCAACTGTGGAGAGACGCCAAGGAGATACCAACATTCGCATGAAAGGGTCAATTGCCATCGTTAACATCGACTTTGCCGTCCCCCCCAACCCCATCCCTCCCGCAGATTCCAATGCCACCATCCCCGATGAGCATCACGATGGAACTGATCTCCTCGGATCCCATCGTCAACAGCCCCACGCTGTCCAGCCCGAGCTGGTCCATCACAAACGCCTCGGTGCCCCTCATGCCGGAGTAGGGCGAGGTGCAAGACGCACGCAGACACGCACGCAGACACGCACGCCAAGCACGCGAAAGGATAAAGACAAAGGTTCCCCCTCCACCCCGTATAGCCTCAACGAGCTGTTGGGGCAAGTGCTGCTATTAGCGCCTATGAAGGCCGGCACGACACACGAGGGGGTGGGTGGCCAACACCACGCCCGGCCGCCTTTGTCTCCCCCCAGTGGCGATGTTTACTACACACCGCACCAGGTACTCATTTGAGGCCGTGTCAACCTAGGGGAGTCCCAGGACCGGTTCAGATAACCGTCACTGGTGCTGGCCGTGAGCGGGAATCGAACCCGGGTCACCAGGTTCATAGCGCAGCGTAGCGCTAACCGCTATGCTGCGCGTGCACACAGATATTCAACAAGAGCCGCCATTCGTATGTATGCGTGTGGAAATTCTTTCGCACCGTACGTAGCCAGCCGTGCCAATCGGAGGTGCCACTCAGCGGCGGTGATGTCACCACGGCGCTTGTGCCAGCCTAGGTATACCTTGAGGCCACGTGAAGTGTGGAAGGATCGCTGCTGGCACAAGGTGAAAGAGCCGTTTCGGGTCGACCGAGATGTGACACTGAACGTGGCGTTGCTTTTCATTGCGAAGGTGGATTTCCTGAAAGCGCCCTTCCATCCCGCTCTAATTTCATTCGTTTTAATAAGTTATATCATGGACCACCTTCAATAATGGTCGTCCCCCCCCCCTCCCCGTGTTGTTTTTATTATGGCGATGACGATGATGCTTGACCGGGGAAAGCCTCGGTGGCAAGTGAGTCTCAACGCTTCGTAGAGGAGGGTCGTGCCCAGTGCTGGAGGGGGGAAGATGTTGATATGCATAAGAGATGCCCTTCTGTGTATGTTGAACTTATTTCGGGCCAATTGCGTTTTTCCCGAGATTCGGTGAGGCTTTCCTGGCTAAACGAGTAATATCACAAGAATAATACTGTAGTAGTAATAATAATAAACTCTTTTTATTTTACTAGGAAAGGCCCACTGAGCTACATGGCTCTTTTTCAGAAGCGACCTGGCCATAAAAAGATAGCTCAACGAAGTGGCTTATCGCGTGGAAATGCATAAGCAGCCAAATACTCATCCACGCAACCACGGAGAGAGAGCGACGTGCAACCTCCAACTATACAGCAGGCGTCGGGGTCGGGATCGAATCCACGACCTCCTGCACACCGGGCGAGGTAGTTAACATCTCCTGGCCACCGTGGCGCCTCAACTGAAATCCAAGGGGGCATCAACTGCAAGAGAAGCACCGGCGCCAGACCAATTTGCCGCGGCGCACCGCAAGAATGTGCTGCGTGTGCCCTCCTGCGCTGGGTGATCTTCCGACCAGCGTATCGTGCGTCCCAGGGCCCAACGTGTCCGCCGCCGCCCCCCCTTTCAGCGATCAAAACGTTTAGGGCCGCTCCGAACGCGAACTTTACATTTTCAGCAGCTCTGAACGCCTTCCAACGGCTTCCCGCAACTTTGTTTCCGCAACCGATTCCACCTTTTCAACGTTTGTTTGGAGACCCAAGGACCCATCAAAGTACCCAACGGGGATGGGGGGGGGGGTGCGCTGCACATCACCGTGTGGCTCCACCCCCACGCGTAATGCTCTGCGCGATCGCTAAGCCGATTGCTTGTGCATGGAACATCCAAGCCCTGTTTTCCCCCCTCCCCTCCTCCACCGACCTGCCCCGCCCCCTCCACCAACATATCCCCGTTGATTTCTCGAAGACGCCAGGACTCGTTTCGCTCATTGTACTTACCGTTTTATTGTTTAAATAAAATTTACAAAACGTGGTTTGATAATCGTGACGACGGTGCCCTTCGCCCAGGTAAAGAGCCCCCCCCGCGGAATGTCAAAATAATGTTTTTTTTTTTCTTCCGGGAGGTCCCTGCTACACCGCTGCAATTGGGATGCTCGTTCCATGTCTGTTTTTAAGATGAGGAGCGTTTCCCCCGCCGCAGGCGAGCGAATCGCCGGCGGAAAATCCAACTCTTCGTACGGGCGGCTAAACTCGCGACGTACACACGCGCGCGCGCGCGCGCGCGCAGGCCTGCGTTCACGAACCCGCTCGCTGTACTGCTCTATCTTTGGAAAACCAACTCCCGAACGCACAAGCCTCGCGGGAGTTTAATTTTGTTTTAAAAACAACCGCATGTGCCTGGGTCACAGGCAAAATCCAGGGCAGTGTGAAGTCATTACATCGCCTCGCTCGCTTCACACATTCACGCGCTCTCGCACATACACAACAGCCTCCCCCCGTGTATCCTTTAACAGACTGCCAGGGGCAAGTGTTTTTAGAGAGCACCTATTAAGGCCAAAATGGCACACGAGGGGGTGGGTGGCCAGCACCACGCCCGGCCGCCTTTTCTCTTCCCAGTGCTGATGGTGATCACGCATCGCACCAGGTACTACTCATTTAAGGCTGAGTTGACCTCGGGGAGGCCCAGGACCAGTTCAGATAATCGTCCCTGGTGCTGGCGGCCGTGAGCGGGAATCGAACTCGGGCCGTACACTGCCCAGCCCAATCTTTGTCCTTTTAAATTTGTATGAGTCTGCACGTGCGGGTAGTGTTGTCTAATGCTGTTCAAACATCTTTAGGAAGTAATAACGCCGCTGCCATTGTTTGTATCTCAACGCAAGTTTTGATTGTGTTTTCATTTTCTCTTTGATATAACCCGGATGACGTTGGAGGAAAGAGTGTCGCCCATTGGCCTGCTTGTCTCAATCCAATCACCCCCGAGACCCTCGACAGCATCCAGTCTCGCGAATAATATTTTTAGCGGCCAAAAAGGAGACTCGGCCTATCACCAACACCATCATCATCCTTCCGGGTCGATAAAACGAGTACCACTATGTGTGGGGGAAGATAACAAAGCAGAAACCTGGTCCCCCGCCATAGGCATGTGGAGTTTCCACAATTGCGGGGCTGATGAGCATCGACGCTCACGTTTTAGGAGGAAAATCGCTTGCGACTTTTTGACTGGGAGAGACAAATGGGAGGTCCCAAGCTCATCAATACACCGCATCGCGCTCACCTCCAATGCGCCCCAGGGTGCCCTGGGACAATGACTCTCTTGGTCACGGCTCGGCTCTTCAGGCTGGGCCACAGGTAGGGCTCAGGTATGGATCAGGCCCGATTCCAGTGAGCCAGCTCAAACCCACGTGCTCAACGTGAACCGGCTCCGAGCGTGGGTTCCAGCCGTGCTCGGTATATCCGTGAGCTGAGCCCGAGCCTAGCCACAGCTGAGCACGCTCGCTCGCTCGCTCGCTCACCCATCTTTGGAAGCAACTGAGCGGCTCAAGCCTGCGCCGAGCCTAAGCTTAGCCTGAGCCGAGCCTGAGCCGAGCCTGAGCTAAGCCGAATCATTAGAGGCCCAGCCAGGGCCAAGCCGCGACTCTGAGCACGGCACTCGTAGGCTGTGCCGGGAGCCTTCCGCCTCCCGGCGTTCCCCCACACCCCCTCCCTCTATCCCCTCCCTCGACCCCCCCCCCCCGCCCCCCACGCTCTCAGATGACGACGGAATTGCAGGCCTGTGTGGGCGAGCCACTGGCCGCCTGAAGGGGGTTGGTGGGCAGCACGGTGATGGGCAGGTCCCAGCTGAGCGTGTCGGCCTGCACGCGCTCGGCCCCCCGCCACAGGCTCCCCTCGGACGCCTCCATGGCGAGCGTGGGGGTGGCCTCCGGCTCGCACGCCACCAGGAACTGGAAATGCAGTCGCCACTTGAGGGTCACTGCAACGTGGGGGGGGGGGGGGGGGGGGGGGGGTGGGGGGGGGCGAGGAAAACGGGGCAGCTGTCAGCGGGGCGGCGGTGGCGGCGGTGCTGACACTCATGCCTCGGAGCAGCGGCAGGCTGAGTTTGTGTGTTCCCTCGCTCTCCACCTGTTCTCAATGGGTTTACTCCGGCTTTCTCCGGTTTCCTCACGTGGCTAAACACTCGCACGACGCAACCGAATAGCTGACGGCTGAGTGGGGGAGGGAGGGCGGGGGTGGGTGGGCGTGGGGGTGGGTGGGCGTGGGGGTGGTGACCGGGGGTGGGGGAGGGGCAGCATCCTCCTCACCCACGTGGGTGCTGAAGCTGGGCGTGGCGTGCAGTGGCACGGGCAGCGCGGCGTGCGTGCGCGCCGTGTGGAGGCACAGCTCGTGGTGGCGGGCGTGCGTCGCCACGGCGGGCGCCTGGGAGGGGCGCCGCCGCAGCGCCGGCGCCACGCTCTCCTCGGCCTGCAGGAGCACGGTGACGCGCAGGCAGCGCACGTCGCCCGCCGAGAAGTCGAAGCTGCAGACGGCGTCCTCGCCGAGGCGGAAGGCGGAGCGCGCCACGCTCAGGCGCCCCACCTTGCCCCACGGGCTCGTGATGTTGAACACGCCTGCGACGGCAACGCGACGACAGTTCACCCCGCCTGCGGAGCCTGGGGCGAGCGCCGTTGGCGAGAGGGCGCCGGCGGGCGGGCGGGCGGGCGGGCGGGTGGCAGCCGTGCCCACGTCGCCTTATTGGCGACGTTCACACGAGAAATCATTTGACGCCCGAGTCGACCTAGGGGCGGCCCCGGTACCGGTTCAAATATGCAACACTGTTATCGGCCGTGAGTCGGGTCGCCGGGTGCGTCGCGCGGCGCGCTAACCACCACACTGCCGCCGCTCCCCTACTCTGACGATGCACACACACACACACACGGTACGTCGGTGACAGCATGTGCAGCTCACATCTGTGCTCGTTTTTTTTTTTTACTCACGCTTGTTTACCCAGGAAAGCCCCACCGAGCCTCCAAGACTCTTTTTCACGAGTTTCCATCATCAGCATCACGTGCTTGTGTCAGCACACGCGCACACACACTAAAAGTGCACCTGGCCTGGCAACAGGCGCCGTGGTGACGTCACCGCCACTCAGTGGCGAACGGCGGGTGTTGGTGTGCCAGCGCCTGTGTGTCGGTGTGTGGATCGGTGCGTATCTGCACATGTCGGCGAGTGCCCGCGTGTTTGTCGGCGTGTGCCCGCGCCTGTGTGTTCTGTGTCAGCGTGTGTGCCTGCTCGTGTGTCTTTGTGCCTGCGCGCCTGTCAGCATGCGCTTCGGTGCGCGGACGGCTGCGTGCGTAGTTGTGCACCATCTCCCG